CCCCCCCCCCGGCCCCGGCCCCCGTTCAGCCGCGATTGTGATGGAAATAGGCCTTTCCCCGCATGCTGTTGAACTTGATGTTGACTCCTTTTCTTTGGGGGTTTCACATCTCTTCGGTCACTTGTTTTGTGGGAAAATTTTCTCCCGAGCTCCGGTGTGAAATTAATTAATCAGGGCCTCTAGATGGCAATGGGACACAAAAGGGGACAGCCCGGGGAAACTCCGACAAACTCACAAAAGCCACCCCCGGGGTTTATAGCCCCGGGCCGGTCGGACCGACTGCCCTGCCCTGCCCGGTGCCCGAGGTAAGGGGCTGCCGGAGCGAAGTTTCGGTGTGTGCAGCTATTTTTTTTTTTTCTTTTGGGGTGGGGGGAGGTTTGGGGCGAAAAAAAAAAAAGGGGGAGTAGAGACCCCGGGGTTTGGGGGGGGTGTGCTGTCCCCGGGCGGTGTGTTGGGTGGGCATCCCCTCCCGTCCCCTTCCCACCCTGCGTTGGTGCGAGGCTGTATCCCAGCCGCAAAATACCCGGGGGGGGGGGGGAAAACAATAATAAAAAAAAATCCCCACGCAAAGGGCCGGGGCTGAATTCGGCATTTCTGGAGAAATAGGGGAGGGAAACAATTTATCTTGGTTTATTCTTATTTTTCCCCCCCTAAAAAAGTAACCGGGGTTGTTCCTGTGCTGAAGCGCCTGGCTCTGCCCGAGCGGGCACGGCGGGGATTTCCACGCCGTTGTTTCCCGAGCGGGGAAATCTCTGCCGTGCGCGGGGGGAAACCGTTTGCCCCCAGTTTGGACTGGGGAGGTGGTTGTTTGATTTCCAGTCACCCTCCGCGCTATTAGTTTCAGCGGGTGCCGCGCGTGTGTGTGTGTGTGTGTGTCCTCCGACGGGTTTAGCAGCGACGGGGGGATAAATATAAAATCAGATTTTCTTTTGAAGCACTTTGCGGGGCAGGATATGATTGTTTTTAGAGAGATCTATCTTTGCAAAGCGTTCGGGGCTTTGGGGGAATATTTCTGCACGGGAACAGGCCAAAAATACGAGCGTCAAATCCCCTCCCGCTCTTTGTTGCCACAACACCTTTGGGTGACAGCGGCTGCAGAAACAAAATCATTAAAATCTGTTAAATCTTTAGTTTTCGCCCACATCGATATTTCCAGCCGGGCAGCAATTCGGGTGGATTTGGCCGGGGGTTTGGGGAACCCTTTTCCTCGGGGTCGCCCCCTCCCTCTCCGGTATTGGTTGAATTGAGCCGCGAAGCGATGTGCAGAGGAACGAGTCGTTGTATTTTAAATGCAAATAATTCCCAGCGACAACGCTGGAACCAAACAGAAAAAAAGAAAAATGGGGCGGGAAAAGAAAAAAAGGGGGGGAAATATCTCGGTGGGAGGAAAAGGGGGCAAAAAGAAAAAAAAAACCCAAACCCGTTGAAGAATCCGCTTTCGAGGGGCGCCGGGCCGGGGGGGGTGTGGGACGAGCCCCGGCGGGCGAACGGCTCCGGTGCCCGGGGAGTGGCGGCGGCTGCCCGGTGCGAGGCTCCGGTGCCCACGACGCGGGGGAGCTGGGCCGCCCCCCCGGCCGGTAAAGCCGGCCAGCCAGCCCCTGGGTGGGTGGCAGCCCCTCGGCGGGGGTCTGCCGTATTTCCCCGGCAGCAGAGGCCGTGTCCCGGCTTGCCCCCCCCTCCCCTCCCACCCCTCCAACCTTGGGCAGAACCGGGGCTCCGGGCTGGAGTGTCCCCACTCCACGGGTGGAAAGGACCGCTTTGGGGGCATCCCACGCCCTGTCCGCCGGTGGGACCGGCCCCGGTTGCCCGGGCAGGGGCTCCAGCACCGCCCACCCCCCCGCCCCCGCTGCCAGCCTCGCCGGGAAAGTTGCTCCAAGTTGGAGGGATGGCGGCGGCGGCACCGGCTCCTCCTGACGCCTCTTCTCTCTCTTTCCCTCCCCAGGTGGGCTCGGTGGAACGGCGCGGCGGGGGACCGGCACACCGGGCGAGGCGGAGGTAACGGCGGTTCTCCTCCTCCCCCCTCCGTCCCCACCACCGGGATTCGGCCGGTTTTACCGGAGGGATGCGGGGCAGGTATGGGACCAGCAGTTAGTGGCGTTACCGGTAACGGTGGGAAGTTACCGGGCTGGCGGGGAGCGGCACACGGCGGCATCCCTCGGTGCGATGGCGGGGGTGGGGGGG